AATGAACAGGCAAACCTGCAAGCCGTCGCAATCGCACAAGCCACATAGAAGCCACACATATAGAAGCCATCGAATAGGCAAACTTTGAAGCCATCACACGTGGACGACGATCGTGACAGCCAGATAGAAGCCATCGACCTAGACGCCACCGGGGGGCCGGCAACTATCAAGACCACATGGTCGCCGCAGATTTTGAAAGCGACTTAGAAGCCACGATTTGAAGCCACATTAGGAACCGCAGATTTGGAACACACTGGGACGCCACAGTTAGAGGCCATGTTGAGAGCCGCAGATTTGGGAGGCACTTAGCAGCCACAGCCAAAAGGTCACATTGGAAGCCGTAAATTTCGAAGACACTTAAAAGCCACACTCCGGAGCCATACGACGGTTAACCACTCACTTCCAACACCAAAAATCAACTCACTTCCAACACCGACCCACTCCCAACACCAAGAACTCACTCCCAACACCAAACATTGACTCACTTCCAACACAAAAAGCACTTTTCGGCGTCGAGGGCGAGTCGGTTTCCGTTTCCCCAATGGTACTGAGGCGTCACTTCTGGAACCCCATCATAAACAATGCCATCATCTAAAAATCTACCTCTTTATTTAAACTTCCCCCCCCACTTGCCTTCCACAATACCATCATCTAAAATCTACCTCTTTGTTTCAACTTCCCCCCCCTTGCCTTCCACAATGCCATGATCTAAAATCTAACTCTTTATTTAAACTTGCCCCGCGTGTTTTCCACAGTGCCATCATCTAAAATCTAACTCTTTATTTAAACTTTCCCCCGCTTGCCTTCCACAATGCCATCATCTAAAATCTAACTCTTCATTTAAACTTCCCCCCCTTGCCTTCCACAATGCCATCATCTAAAATCGACCTCGTTATTTAAACTTCCCCCCTGCCTTCCACAATGCCATGATCTAAAAATCTAACTCGTTATTTAAACTTCCCCCCCTGCCTTCCACAATGCCATCATCTAAAAATCTAACTCTTTATCTAAACTTGCCCCCCCTTGCCTTCCACAATACCATCATCTAAAATCTACCTCTTTATTTCAACTTCCCCCCCCTTGCCTTCCACAATGCCATGATCTAAAATTCTAACTCTTTATTTAAACTTCCCCCCCGTGTTTTCCACAGTGCCATCATCTAAAATCTAACTCTTTATTTAAACTTCCCCCCCCTTGCCTTCCACAATGCCATCATCTAAAATCTAACTATTTACTTCCCCACCCATTGCCTTCCATCATCTAAAAATCTAAATCTTATTAAATTCCCCCCCTTGCCTTCCACAATGCCATCAACTAAACTCTAACTCTTTATTTAAACTTCCCCCCCCTGCCTTCCACAATGCCATCATCTAAAAATCTAACTCTTTATTTAAACTTCCCCCCCACTTGCCTTCCACAATACCATCATCTAAACTCTACCTCTTTATTTCAACTTCCCCCCCCTTGCCTTCCACAATGCCATGATCTAAAATCTAACTCTTTATTTAAACTTGCCCCCCCGTGTTTTCCACAGTGCCATCATCTAAAATCTAACTCTTTATTTAAACTTTCCCCTGCTTGCCTTCCACAATGCCATCATCTAAAATCTAACTCTTCATTTAAACTTCCCCCCCTTGCCTTCCACAATGCCATCATCTAAAATCGACCTCTTTATTTAAACTTCCCCCCCTTGCCCTCCACAATGCCATCATCTAAAATCTAACTCGTTATTTAAACTTCCCCCCCCTTGCCTTCCACAATGCCATCATCTAAAAATCTAACTCTTTATCTAAACTTGCCCCCCCCTTGCCTTCCACAATACCATCATCTAAAATCTACCTCTTTATTTCAACTTTCCCCCCCTTGCCTTCCACAATGCCATGATCTAAAATTCTAACTCTTTATTTAAACTTTCCCCCGTGTTTTCCACAGTGCCATCATCTAAAATCTAACTCTTTATTTAAACTTCCCCCCCTTGCCTTCCACAATGCCATCATCTAAAATCTAACTCGTTATTTAAACTTCCCCCCCCCTTGCCTTCCACAATGCCATCATCTAAAATCTAACTCTTTATTTTAACTTCCCCCCCCTTGCCTTCCACAATGCCATGATCTAAAAATCTCACTCTTCATTTAAACTTCCCCCCCCTTGCCTTCCACAATGCCATCATCTAAAATCTAACTCTTTATTTTAACTTCCCCCCCCTTGCCTTCCACAATGCCATCATCTAAAATCTAACTCTTTATTTAAACTTTCCCCCCTTGCCCTCCACAATGCCATCATCTAAAATCTAACTCGTTATTTAAACTTCCCCCCCTTGCCTTCCACAATGCCATCATCTAAAATCTAACTCTTTATTTAAACTTCCCCCCCATTGCCTTCCAAACACCAGATCTAAAAATCTCACTCTCATTTAAACTTCCCCCCCTTTGCCACAATGCATCATCTAAAATCTAACTCTTTATTTAAATTCCCCCCATTGCTTAAACAATGCCATCAT